GTTTATACCACTACCATATATTCACTAAATAATTTATAACTTTAAAATTTAATTAATAAAATAATATAAAGTAATATTATGAGTATAGATTTTGGCTCAAACTACGATTATTGGCTCCAGCAACTGTCGTTATCGACGCCCGAAAGTTTATCCTACTTAAATCAGGTTCAGGATAGTAAAGAAGCTTGGAATTTAGCTTTCAACTTATTAGATAATCAAGTAAATAAAATATTTTTTATTTTATTTTTTATTGACTTTTTTGATATAGAATTCAACCCTTAAGTTTTACGGAGCACATACTCTGTTTCATAAAATCGCTAGAAATTGGTAACTCTAACTCAGCACTAAATGAATATTAAATTTTAACGAATTCGATATAGGAATCAATTACAGCTAGAACAAACTACAGAATTAGGCTCTAGAATAATTCAACTAATTCAAAACTTAAATCAACAAAAATTAAGTCAAACTGGATCAGATCAATTATTTAATCCTACAATTAGAAAACTATTACAAACGGTAACATCAACATCCAAATATTATTAATTATCAATATTAATTCTATTTTAGCTAGTTTGGTATCAATTTTACACCTTTCAACAAATAGAAAAACAAGATTTTATACAAACCACTTTAAGTCAATTCCCTTTGAGTGATAATATGGAATTGGCTGTTTGTAACGAATTGATAAAATTAGACTATTTAAAATTAATACCTGAAGAACATTTATCAGCTCCTAGTAGCTTAGTATCTAAAAGGTAAATCAAACAACGTAGCAAATTTCTCAAGCTAATTGATTGATTTTTAGCGTTGGTATTACTGATTACTTACACAAATCTGTGGATAATATATTATCCATATTACAGCCTCACTTAATCCAAAAATCCCTAGAACCCAGCCAAGACCTTTTATTCCAAAAATCCCTTGCAACTCTACAAAGTTGGACAACATTCGGCTTACCTATAGAATCTATACCTAATATAGTCCAGTTACTTATTCAGCAGCTTAACTTTAAGGATAGGATATTCCCTATTGGTAAAACTTTACAAGAAATTTTATCACATCCAAATTCTTTCAAAGTTCAAAGTACTTTGTTTGGTATTTTATTGCCTACATTATGCCATCCTAGTTTGTTAAGCTTCATCTCAGGTAAGTTAACTTACAAAGTTATATTGATTCAATAGCTAATGATACTGCTGTAGAACTTCATCAATCCGATTCCGACCATGATTCCGTGCTTCCTCTTTGTCAATTATACGTAGATTTCTGTGAAACCTTTAGCGAAATGATAATGGAAAAAATCATATATGAAAACAATGCTCAAGTTTATTCTATATTAGAAGCTTTATTAAGCTTTACAAATTACCCTGGTTTATGCCCTTCAGAGCAAACTATTACAGAGGAGTGCTTGCTAGTTTGGGTTACTTTACAGGATTCTTATCAAACTTTGGACGAAGATAGCTATAATAGAACTAATCAAGTTGCTAATAAGGAAGGTGCTTTGAGTTTCTTTAAAAGATTATTGGATGTGCTATTAGTTAAGGCACAATTTCCCGTTGAAGAAGAGTTATCCGATTGGAGTCAAAATGACCACTATATATTTAAAGTGTTTAGAAGAGACGTAGGCGATTTATTTATTAATACTTATTATTTAATGGGATCTGAAATGGCTAGATATTACTTTGGTCAAGCTAATCAACTAATCAACCACTTAGCTCAACAACATAATAATCAAGATAGCTGGCAAAGTTTGGAATCTATTTTACATTTAATTTTAAAAATATCAGAATCGATGAACGATAGTATTCCTTCATTACCTGAAATTACCCAATTTTTCCAAAATCAAACCATAGAGCTCCTAATAGAAGGCCAATTTAGCTCTATTTATTTAAAACAAACAATATTTAAAATTATTGGAGAATACGCCCAATATATTAAAGATAATCACCAATTGTTAGTATTATCAATTAGTAAATCTTTATCAGTTTTAGCTAATAATCAATTAACTCAAGCTGCTACTAGTGCATTTGGAAAATTGTGTAATATTGCAAGGGATGATTTAGTTAATAGCATTGGTGATTTGATTAACACATATCTGTCCATTGCTCATAATATCACCCCTGAACTATTAGATAAAATCCTAAAAGGCTTATTCAACATTCTATATAAATTATATTCAATAGATTCTAACAAATTCCAGTTAGAAATGGAGCGAGTTATTAGTAATTTGTTAGATATTATTGAACAAACTATTGTTCAAGGTAAAGTAGGGGATTTTTCTAATTTAACAATTGGCTCGCCAACTTTAGAAGCTAGTCCTAAAGATTTGTGGATTGAGCAACTTGTTCAAAGAATCCATAATTTAACAGCTTGTTGCAATGGTCTCAAACCTTCTAGTGAGTTCGATTTATCGGAGTTAGCTGTGGATACTTTACAATTACCTCAATCCATAATGTCTCCTTTATGCCAAAGATTATACATGGCACTTGCCGAGTGTTTAAGCTTAGTTGGAGGTCAAGAAGTTATGGTAGAAGCTATTAGTAGATTAACAGCTGCAGGATTAGATACTGATGGAATTGCTGTTCCTTTCGTTTTTCCTCTCTCCTCACTATTAGAAATGGTTATTAATAACTATTTAGCCCATCCTCATATAAATTCCTACCTTAGTTGGTTCAATAGAATAGTTAATATTTATGGCTCATCATCCAACATGAGTCTCAAGTCTCAGTTATTCTTTAACAACAACCTCACTCAAGAACAACCTCAAGCTCAATATGACGACGGATTATTGGCACAAGCCTTACAAAAAGTTTTACCTGCCTTTTTTGGAATTGTAACCGATTTAAATAGTATGGAAGTAGATTTAGATTTATCTCTAAGTATGGTTAATTTACTTTCTAGATTTATCAAATGTGACTTAAAATCTATCTTAACACTTCCAGCACACTTAATCGACTCAATATTCATGTTTAATTTAACAGGTTTATCGGTTCAAAATAGATTTTTATTAAAAGCCCACCTTGGATTAGCTGTTGATTTGTTATCTAGCCACAAAGAAGAAGATATTTTAATTCAAAAATTCCCTCAAGTAAAGTTTATAAGGTTATCAAGCTTGATACAGGACCAAGGTATTGGGAAATTAATTTTAGATAAATTATTACTTGGAATAGGGAAAGATACTCCTAAATCTTGTATTGTTAATGTTACAGAAGTATTGCATCACTTGCTATTAAATTGCAAAGGTTTAGCTAATCAATGGATTAGAGAATTACTTAGTCAGGTAATTGAATTAGCATATTTTTCTTGAATATATAAATATTAACATTAAGTGCTATTTTTATAGGAAAATTACCCAACTAACCTGGTAGATAGTAAAACTAAAGATCAATTTGTTTCCAAATTATTAATCACAGCTAGCTTAAAGGATCGTAAAAAGTTGTGTGAAATGTTTAGTTTAAGTTGCAGAGGCTATAACTTATAGTTAAACACATTAAATAATAAATTTATATATTAGATAACATATATCACAAAGCTATACCTTATTTGTTATAATAGTATATTGTACTATTTTATTGTTTATATTTTATACCTTGCCCATATTAGCTCATTATTTATAAATTTTGACTCAAAAATCTATTATTGTAAAACGTGACTTGATATTTTATGATATGAATGTAATAAAATTAGTGATTAAGCATAGATTAGATATAAGCATACGAGCTCTAAATTTTGTACTGCTATTTCTTAGCTATAAAAACTTTTACTTAGCTTGCACTCAATGAGCAAAATTAAAAGCATTTTACTTGAACAAGTGAGTATCTAAGATTATATTATCATATTAACAACAGATATTGAAGTATTTTATAATGCGGCAGTATCATCAAAGCTTACACTTAAGCATTGAAAAGACTAGTAAAGATAATGATAATGTTGGATATTGTAATATAAAGATTTGATCTAAACCCCATTAAAAGATCTGATATTATAAAGTCTTGAACGAAAAAGTTGTATATACTCAAAACATATGTTGAATAATATGAATATCTTAAATAAGTACAAAGTTAGCGATTATGGATAGAGTGCTAATAAATGGTGTAGAGATTTATATTGAATAATAACTTGATAGGATTAATAGCAGCTTATATGTGAATACAAGATAGTTTAGTTGTAGAATTTACGGCTAGGAGAGGGACCAAATAAGTTATAACGAATTTGGGGTAACATCTAAATTAGAAAATTTTTAGTAAATGAAGTATTGAAAAATTAAAGTAGCTATTTTACCTGTTCCTTTAACATATCTAAACGGCTTTCGAGAGTATTATGAACACGAATTTTACCATCTAAGCAGGAAAGAACAACACCACCAGCGCTAAAGTAAAATATATAAGAAAATGAATTACAATGAAAAATAGTGAAACTTACGCAGATTCCTTTAAGTAGGCGGAATCGATAACAACTTCAACAGGGTAACCAATTTCTTTTTCGAATAAGTCAGAAGCTTCCTTGGCAGCGGCTTGAACTTCAGCTTCA